AAAAAAAAAAAAAAAAAAAAAAAGATACTAGATTAAGGAATCTGGAAAAAACAGAAGGCAGAATCAAAGCGAGGATGTTTGGACTTGGGATTTTGGAGGTAATACAGTTCCTAGTGATGACATGGCCGGGAGCAAAGGTTCTCAACCTTGGCATTATTGATATTTGGAACTGAATAATTTTTCATCCTGGGAGAATGTCCTACGCATTGTTCATCTGCATCCTTGGTCTCTACTCATGAAATGCTAGTAACACTTCTCCAGCAGTGGCAATCAAAAATGTCAGACATCTCCTGAAGGGCCAGAATCGTCCCCAGTTGGGAGATGCTATCATGTGGCAGCTCATTTAAGTCTCACTTTGACCCTGTGACTGTGAGGTAATTATGAACCAGGTGTCATTGAGATCAAGGTCAGGGGCTTGTGTCTGTTGCCAGATAAACTTGGGTAAGATACTCTCTCTGGGCCCTGTTATATCTCACCTGCAGAATAGGATAATAATTGCTATAGGATTGTTGGAAGGATCAAATTATGTAAAATATGAAAAGAGCTATGAAACAGTGCCTGGCACATGATAGGTGTTTGATAATTGTTAGTTATCACTGAAAGATGTACTTTAGAAGTCTCGTAAACTTTCATCATTGTCATATTACTGGCTATGGTCTATTACTAAACTGTATCCTATGTAGTATTAGGGTACATGTCCTGGCACATTTTTTCAGGAAATCACTGTGTTCCAAAGACATTGCTAGGCTCTAAAAAAAAAAAAAAAAGGAAAAATACACTTGTAATTGTCATGCTCAAAGACAGAAGAAATGATTGTTTGCAAAAGTTGTGTTATAGATAAATTACCATGAGAATTCTAAGGAAGGAGAGAGGAAGGAGGGCGAGGAGAATCAAGAGAGGCTTCCAAGAGGAGGAAATATCTGATCTGGGGTTTGGACTTAGGGGTATGGGGGGTGGAGAAGGCATCTCTGAAGGAAGATGCAGTGAGACAGGGAGGATGTGGGTGCTATAAATAGGCCAGGTCGACTCAAGCAGAAATATGGGAGATGAGGCTGAAAGGTGAGTTGGACCAAATAGTTGAAGGAATTTCATGGCAAGGAGCTTGGAGAGCCATTGATTAAATCCAGTATGTTATTATGCAACTAATACACTGCTCATTATAATATTTAAATGACCTCACAGTTACCTTATATGCTCCTTGTTTTTTCAAATTACTTTTGTCCTCTTGGTTTATTGGGCCCTCTCAACACCATGGTAAGCCTCAGTTTACCAGCTCAGGAACAGGTACCCAACAGCCACTGTCTGTGTTGGATGGGTGGTTGGTTGGCCACACTTGAGGAAGATGGTGCCTCGAGCCTGTGGTCTTTATCCCAGACTCTCCTGATGGATCCCCTCTCTACCTTCAGGGTCCTCCAGTGATGCACCCCATGCCCACCACCCCCTGCACCCTCACCTGATGCAGGAACACATGGGCACCAACGTCATTGTTGCCAACACGATGCCTGCTCACCTCAGCAATGGACAGATGTGTGAGTGGCCCCGACCCAGGGGGCAGGCAGGTGGGCAACCTGGGCTCTACCTGGCAAGGGGTGAGGATGGGGGGCCTAAGAGTTCTCTGTGCTTCAGGGTAGGGGAATGAGAGGTGGGTTGAGGTGACTGGTGGATTGACAGCCTCTCCTGAATAAAGCTGTCCTTGCAACGAGGCAATCCACTGGATGAGGTGACCCATTGGGTAAAGATGTTCACTGGATGAGAAGTCCATTAGGTGACATCATCCAGTAGGTAAAAATCTGCATTGAAGTAAGGCTTCAGGTAAGGCTATCCATTAGATAATTAGATGAGACTGTCCTTTGGGTCATGATGTCCACTGGGCCAGACCACCCTCTGAGATAAAACCTCTAGTGTGTGACTTTGTCACTGAGCAAAGATCTTCAAAGAATAAGATCATCAATAGGATGAGGTGGCCCACTGAGATGACACAGTATTTCATTGAGATTGTTCTTTGAGAAAGTTGTTCATTTTTTTTAAGTTTTATTTTAGAAAGTCACTCAGAGGAAGAAAGTTGTCCATTGAATGGAGTTGGCCAGTTGGGTCAGAGTAACTTTCTGAACCTGTGGTGAGGGTGGGGCCAATTAGTTTCTATTATTCATCTCCTAAATAACTAACAAATGGTATTTAGGGGGGCCATTTCTCCCTGGATCTCAATGGCTGCTCCTCTTCCTTTTCAAATTACTTTTGTCCTCTTGGTTTATTGGGCCCTCTCAACACCATAGTAGGCCTCAGTTTACCATGAAAGAGTCACACATCTTATTGCCCTTGGGGACAATATAACCAGAGCCCTGCTTTGGGAGAAATAGGCCAAGATTCCCTATCAAATGATGGAAGAGATGTGTGGTAGGACCTTCCAGAATTCTTAGAATTTATACTTCATGAATGGGGATTGGCAGAAGGTTTGCTCCATGGAGACCTTAGGATCTATCTTAGGATTATCTGGTTCGATACTTTCCTTTTGTAGAAGAGGAAACTAAGTTAGAGGTGGCAGAAGGGTGGGGAAGAGATTCCCCAGGGCTCTTCATTTACTCCCTCCCCTAAAGGCTGGGATTTTGAGCAGCCCCTTTCTGTCTCTTTGTCTTTCCAGCCACCCCTGAGACTCCACAGCCCTCACCACCAGGTGGCTCAGGATCAGAGCCCTACAAGCTCCTGCCAGGAGCCATTGCCACAATCGTTAAGCCCTCTTCTGCCATCCCCCAGCCAACCATCACCAAGCAGGAAGTCATCTAGCAAGCCGCTGGGGGTCAGGGGCTCTGCTGGCTCCCCCCAGCCCCTTCAGAGAGCACCTGGTGATCACTTGGTCTCAGCAAAGGAAGGAGTGACACCAGGACCAGTCCCAGAGTGTTAATAGAAAGGGCGAAGGGCCCAAGCACGTGGGCTGAGGGCCACATCCCATTGCCACCTTTGATGCCCTGCTCTGGGAGATACGGCTTTGACTTGGGGAGATCTCAGCTGGAAAGTCCTCTGTTGCCTTGGACAAACTTATGTTGAAGCCACTGCCTTCACCTTCATCCATATGTACCCCCAAGATCACCCCCGAAGGACAGCTGTCTAGAGAAAACACAGGGCCCTGCTTAAATCCAGCTCCCTGTCCCTAGACTGGTGCTGCTTCTCTCCTAGTCCCAATCATGGTATCCATGCACAGAGCACCTCACTCCTCGCCCTTCTGCTGTCCCCACTGCCAACACCCCTCTCCCTCCGCTGTCACCCTCCTAGGCCATCCTGTCTTCTTCAAAAGCCACCTCTCCAGAAGCTGGGGGAGGCTTGCAAACAATCTCCCAATCATCCCCCACTGGGGCTGGGCAGAATGCAGGAAACTTTATTCCTCCCCCTTTTCTCAGGGACGTGGGTGGGTCTTCAGAAATGGCCCCTTTAGGCTTTCAACCTAGAGAGCGAGCCAAGGTTGACAACCACAATGGGAACTTGGAGGGAGGGCTGGCGTGGTCAGAGGAAGCATCTGGGAAGAGGCAGATTGTGCGCCAGGCCTTTGAGGAAGAGTGGGATTCTGGCTGATAGAGCAGGGGAGACAGGACGTTCCAAAGAACAGCCTGGACAATGGCCTGGAGAGAGGAAGAATGGCATGGGAGAGAGAAGCACAGAGGGAGAGGGCCTGCAGGTAGGCATGGGTCTGGAATGCTGGGCTGAGGCCCTGAACTGGGGAAGGGTGCAGGGAGGCGAGCTTTCAGAGACAAATACAGTGAGTGGAGCAGGGAGGTCAAGTGCGGTCGATGACGTCATGCAGGTGAGAGTGATGTGGCTTGGAAAAGATAAACCCTCAGATTAGAGGGGCATTAGGGAGGACCTACCCCCAGGGCCTGTCTCAAACTCTCCCTTACTCCCAGGCCCTATCTTAAGGCATTTGACCTGTGTCCTCTTATTTTTATCCTCCCTACTGTCTAGAGCAGTGGGTCTCGACCTTCCTCATGCAGTTCCTCCTGTTGTGGTGACGCCCCCCACCATAAAATTATTTTCGTTGCTACTTCATAACTGTAATTTTGCTACCGTTATAAATCGTAAATATCTGATATGCAGGATGTTTTTAGGCGACCCCTGTGACAGGGTCGTTTGACCCCCAAAGGGATTGCGACCCACAGGTTGAGAACCTCTGATCTAGAGATTGTTACAGAAGATGAAGTTGAGTTCTAAGAGGTGATGAGATTTTTTTCTGACACTCGTGCAACTGATATGAGTGCCAAGTCAGGACTTGACCCTAGGCCTCCCCAGATTAGGAGCTCGTAACCACAGTAGTTGAACATCTTCTCCAAAAGGGCTCCTCTGTCCTCATCGTGATTGAACTAAGGGACTTCCTGACCCTTTCACCCACCTCAGAAAGGAAAGGCCCATTGTTCCCAGGAGCCTGGCCAACTCTTGGGACTAAGATTGGCCCAAGGCTGCACTAAAATCCACTTAGGGTCCAGAATCCCATTTGCTGATAAATGTTAAGGAGAATTCATGATTCTTGACCCTTTGTCTCTTTCGCTCCCCAAGTCTGGGGGGGGAGGTGGCAGGGGTCTGGTCAAGCCTGGGGGTGGAACAGTTTGAGAGTGGGGCAGGCTGTGAGGCCTACTCTGGGGATTGACACTCAAGGTTCATTGTGGACATATTAAACCCCAGGATGGAGCAGCCAGCACCTCATCCATGCAGAATCTTGGAAGCTTTGGGTATAGTCTGGAAAATGCCTTTGGCCAGTGGGAACAAAAGGGATGTGTCCTTGGGATGGAGGGATGAGTATGTAGGAGAGTGAACTATTAGATAGACTGACCACCTACCCTCCACCCAAGGCTGGCTCTTCTGAGCGGATGGGAGCAGTATCCCAGTGCCTAGAAATTCCACCATTGCTGATTATTTCTTTTTGCAAGAGTCACGGTATGGACGCATGGGCAGTGCATCAGAGAGAAAGCTCCACATCCTCAGCACTGTCAGGCTTGGCCCTCCCCAGTCCACCAAGCCAAGTTCCCAGTCCCAAGAGACACTGCTCCCTGCACAGAGCTCCCAAGCATCCTTCAGCCACCTTACTCCAGGGCCCCAGAATCCCTGCCAGCCACTGCAGATACAGCAAGTCGTGGCAGCTGGGGTCTTTCCGGACACTGTGGTCATCCTCAGTCTGTTCCTTCACCCCCAAGTGTGGCTCAGGCCTCTGTCATGGGAGCTATATTGAAATAATATCCCATAGAATGGAGTGGGGTACCGGTGGCCTTTAGTGGTAGCAATCTTTTGCAGCAAAGGGTGGTCCTTTCCCCCAATCCACCCTTCCTGGAGGAAAAATCCGTCCTACTTTAAACAACTTTACTGCAATTCAGGAAACATGAAACAGAGAAAAGTTAACTTTTCTGAATCGAAGCTTGACACAACATCGGAAAATCTTTTTCTCTTTTTATCCCCCCTACCTGAGTTGTGGTCCTAAAACAAAATCTGGTGGACCAAAACAGGGTCGCTAGGGGGCACGTGTGGGCACTATAATTCCTCCACCAACACAGGTCCTTCTTTGGGCAGCTCTCAGGAGCTTCTAGAATCCCTATGGCTCTCCTAGGAGTGGATGGAGGAGGGAGAGAGTTGGAAATGGATGCTCTTCTAGTCCTGCAATGACAAATTCAACTGTCTCTGCCAATTTTTCTGTGATCCACCCTGATTCAGAAGAATTGTGAAATTCTCATCAAGCAATTCGGGAATTGGGCTGGGTCCCGTCAGATGGGTCCCAGATCCTCCGGTGGGTGTGAGTGTCATTAGGTCCTGCGCTGACCTCCGAGAATCCATCACTGCCGCCCGATGGGGCAAAGAACCAAAAACCATTTCTTATTCTTGTGTGTTTTAACGAAAGTTTATAAAAACAAAATAAATGGCGGGTATGTTTTCTAAGTATTAGCATGGGTGTCTTTTCTTTCCGGTGCTGTAAGTAAGAACGAGGGTAGTCTTACAGTTCTTTACAGTGTACCAAACACTTTCAAAGCCACGATTAGTTTTAACCTCATCAAAAGGAGAACAGATTAGATGTTATAATTACTTTACAGATGGGGAGACTGAGGCTCAGGGGAAGTGATTTTCCTTGAGAGGCAGAGGGGGACTTCCAACACTGGGGTCTTGACTCCAAGGCCACAGTCTGGGGGGAGAGTCAAAGTTGATCCTCCCTCCTGAATGGGGGAGAGACAAGAAAAGAGGTGATGGAAAAGTCTGGAAAAACAGCAAAAGGAGCCAACAGTCACCTACCATCAAGGTCCACAGTGGGGCCCCTCTTCTGGGTCACCTTAACCAAGCTGGGAATCCTAGCCTACCAGCAATAGGAAATGAGTAGCCACAGGGACATTTCATAAAAGTGTTGTGTTTTTTTTTTTTTAAAAAAAAGAAGAAAAGTAAGAAGTCCGCTTGTGAATCTCCAGCCAGGTGTGTAGACACTTAGTCTTCTCCCCTGCTGACCTAGGCAGATGAACTTGTGTCTTGGCCACCACCGACCACAACCCCATATTCCCTTGGGGGTGTTTATAGCTAGCTTGTGAGAGCTGACTATTAGCTTCCCTTCCCAAATCCCTGTTTGCCAATGTCACCTTAGTAGCTTGAAATTGGCCACAGTGGAAGCATTTATACCACAAGGCCTGACCAATGACACAACTCAGGGCTTTCTTTCCTGTAGAGCTGGTTCTTACACGAATGCACACCCCAGCATTCAGTGATGGCTAGACTGTGGCATGCCTGGGTATGTGGCACTGGGGAATGAGAGTAGAGCAGGGTGACCCTTTTAGCGTCTCCCAAAGAAGAGAAGACAACAGTTCTATTCTGGGAATAACAGTCTTGGAAATCAATGCAACCTTGGGCAGGTCACTACACCTCTCTGAGCCTCATCTATAAAATGGGATTGATATTTACTTCAAAGGACGTTGCCAGGATTGATAGAATAAGGTAACAGTAAGTGAGAGCTGCTGTTCTATGAGGTGCACAAGAGAGGTCTCCACCCAGCCCCTTTCTGAGAGGCAAACCATTAAGTTCTCCAGCCTCAAGAGCACCCATGAACTTCCTGTCTGATCCCTGGGGCTTCTTCCTCCTTCCCTCTTCTGTCCATCCCTCCAGGAAACATTCCCGATAACATAATGGAGACCTGCTCCATGCCACTGCCAGCATGGACATGGTGGGTGGGGGCCAGAGAAGGTGACTTGAGTCCTAAATTGTGCTTAACAAATCCATATCAAAACCATAAACCCTGGGCTGCCATAAATTCCTCTGGCCCCAACTCCTCCAGCTCATCAGCCCTTTGCCCCAGTTAATCTCAAACCTCATCACAGGCGGCCAGGCAGTCAGGCTTGCTTTCCACTTCAGTTGCTAAAGAAGATCAGCTCAGGTGACAAACGGCAAAATCCCCATTTTAGAGATGGTAACACTGAGGTTCAGAAAGGTGAAGGAACTCGTCCAGGGCCACACAGCTAGAAAGCCGTTGAGCCAGGAATGGAGCCCACACTACTTCTACCAACCCAATGAGTGGCCTGCTCAAGACTTAGGACTTCTGAGGAGTCTCCTCTTTTTAGCCCCTCTACAAAGATTGTTTGCCTGAGTCACATTACTAGAGGCTTCTTGTTCCTTTATCCTAAATGGAGCCCCTTGGCTCAAAGTAGGCACCAGAAGTAGAAGGGACCTAAGTGATAAGCAGTTTGAAAGTCCACAGAAAGCTCCAGGGAGTGTGAATGCCCCTCCATGCCACTGCTTGCGACTGCCCTACTACCAAGTGCTTAGAACCCAGATCGCCTTTGATCCATGGATCTCAAGTCCATGTGTCATATGTAAATTCCAAGATGTGATCTAAGATCTGAGTCACAGGGTCTCATGCATCTGTTTGATGATGGTGGAAGAAACCAAGTCATGACACCAAGAGTAACACGTACAGAGCACTTTCTCTCTGCCAGACATTGCTGGATGTCACTGAATCCCCACAATAACCCTCCGAGGCAGTCAAGGAAGAAAGGCCTCACCCAAGGTCCACAGCTGGGCCACAGCTGATCCTGTGCCTACTGTCTGGCTCCTGGGGCCATGATGAGGAAATGGAAGAGGACACTGGTGACTGTCACTGCATGGTGGGCACAGGAGGAGCATGAACTGGGGAAAGGTCATCATGTGACAAATGTCAACGGTTAAAGCCACATGTCATGTCATCCTGGGATTATGAAGAAGGCGCTCCCTTCTGGAGCGTTCCATTTTCACATGGAGGGAAAATGAGAAGCCCTTGGCTACTAAGAGCCACAAGAATAAGGGGACGTCTGGTGAGTGGTAGCAATGGAGTGCTGTGTCTTTAAATCGGTTCATCACCATTTGTGTTTATTTGTTTATTTGTGTTTTCAGAGACAAGGTCTCACTCTGTCGCCCAGGCTGCAGTGCAGTGGCACAATCAAAAGCTCACTGCAGCCTCAAATTCCTGGGCTGCAGCCATCCTCCGGCCTTGGCCTCCCAAAGCGCTGGGATTACAGGTGTGATCCTGGCTTTTATTCTCTTTATTTAAACTTTAGGTCACTGACATAACTAGGAAAACAGTATCATTTGCTGTAAACAGGTGATTGCAAAATTAAAGTGAAAAGAAAACAATGTTCTTTTTTTTTTTTTTTTTTTTTTTGAGACAGGAGCCTCAAGCTCCTGGGTAGAGTGCTGGGGCATCTCAGCTCACAGCAACCTCCCACTCCTGGGCTCAAGTGAGTCTCCTGCCTCAGCCTCCCAAGTAGCTGGGACCTCAGGCGCCCGCCACAATGCCTGGCCATTTTTTGGTTGCAGCCATCATTGTTGTTTGGCGGGTCCAGGTCGGATTCGAACCCGCCACCTTGGGTGTACGTGGCTGGCGCCTTAGCCACTTGAGCCACAGGCGCCGAGCCAGAAAACAATGTTCTTAAGCTGCAGTTGGATGCAGGTGCCCAGGGATCTGCTCTTTGTTTCTTTATTAAAAATGAAAATTGGGGCAGCGCCTGTAGCTCAAAGGAGTAGGACACTGGCCCCATATGCTGGAGGTGGCGAGTTCAAACCCAGCCCCAGCCAAAAAAAAAAAAAAAACGATAAAAATGAAAATTGTGGGGCCAGGTGCAGTGGCTTATACCTGTAATCCTAGCACTCTAGAATGGCGAGGTGGGTGGATTTCTTGAGCTCACACATTCAAGACCAGCCTGAGCAAGAGCAAGACCCCATCTCTAAAAATAGCCGGGCATTGTGGTGGGTGCCTGTAGTCCCAGCTACTTGGGAGGCTGAAGCAAGAGAATTGATCGCTTAAGCCCAAGAGTTTGAGGTTGCTGTGAGCTGTGATGCCACAGCACTCTACCCAGGGCGACAAAGTGAGACTCTGTCTCAAAAATAAAAATAAGTCAATAAATAAATAAAAGTGAAAATTGACAAGTATGAGAGTTGTTAGTGTAAGTGTAAAGGCACTTTCTCCTTAAAGATTTCAGGGGAAGACTTGTAAAGAGAAAGACTCTGGGGACAATGTCACTTACTGCCACTCCTGTGCATCCCTGAAACCTCCCAGCATTCCATGGCAGGCCCTCATCCCACTCCTGGAAGCCTATCTGGCTGGTCTGTACACAAGTGCTGGGGGACTCAAATACTTGGCAGAAGAGTCTGGAAATGGGAAAGCACTGGAAATTTGCAGCAGGGAAGTCTGTGGTCAGATCCATATCTTTCATTTAAAATTGTTCTAGTGGCTTGACGCCTGTGGCTCAAGTGGCTAAGGTGCCAGCCACATACATCTGAGATGGTGGATTCAAATCCAGCCCGGGCCTGCCAAAAAATAATGATGGCTGCAACCAAAAAATAGCCAGGCATTGTGGCAGGCGCCTGTAGTGCCAGCTATTTGGGAGGCGGAGGCAGGACACTTGTTTGAGCCCAGGAGTTGGAGGTTGCTGTGAGCCATGATGCCATGGCACTCTACCCAGGGGACAGTTTGAGGCTCAGTCTCAAAAAAAAAAAAAAATTGTTCTAGCTAGGCTGGGTGTGGTGGCTCATGCCTACAATCCCAGCACTCGGGGATGCCAAGGCAGGTAGATTGCTTAAGCTCACAAGTTCGAGATCAACCTAAGCAAGAATAAGACCCCACTCTACTAAAATAAAAAACTGAGATAAGAGGATTGCTTGAGCCCCAGAGTTAGAAGCTGCTGTGAGCTGTGATGCCATAGCACTCTACCCAGGGTGACAAAGTAAGACTCTGTTTCAAAAAAAAAAAAAATTGCTATGGCTGCTTTGGAGTAGACAGAACTTTGTGATGAATGAAGACACACTTGTCCTGGGTCAGGTTTAGAGATAGTAACGTCTGCATCAAGGTAGTGGCAGTAGAGTAGAAGAGAGGACCAATCCAAAAGATATTCATTCATGCATGCACTGAACAAATATTTAATGATTGCCTATGGCTCACTGAGCACTTTTTTGAGTCTGAGAGGTGGGCCCGGCAAGATGAGAAAGGACCTTCTAGGCCATGAGAAAGCTTACATTTTACAATAAAATAAGATAATAAATGTCACTTATAGTAAATGCCATAGGAAATTCTTAGAAGTAATGCCTTCATGTTTTTAAAAGGCCACTCTCTGCTTTAGAAGTGGAGTACATGGAACAGGAGTGGATGCAGAGAAGCCCACAGGCAGCCTGTGCAGTGGCCTCAGTTAGAAATAATGACAGGTGGATGAGGGTCATGTAGCAGGCAGAATTCTAAGGTATACACACACCTTCTCTCAATTATTCAATCAGACATTAAGCTGGGTGCTACTGTAAAGGGATTTTGCAGATGTACTTAAGGTCCCAAACCAACTGACTGTATGATGGGGAGATTTGACTTGGTGAGCATGACCCATTCAGATGAGTCCTTAAAAGGGACAGGGCTCTTTCTGAAAAATGAAATTAGCAGTGTGAGAAGA